ATTCCATGATGGGACCATCCTCCAGCTACCTCAGCCAAGGAAACTTTGCACTCCCATCAGTACCTCACCAGACACCAAAAAACCCAAAAAATCCCAAAATCCAACAGAGAAAGGAAGAGAGAAAACTCTGAAGTGTCCCAACCGTGGAAAAAAAATGGAATTACAAACCAGGATAAGACCCAAAGTTGTAAAAATCAACTTCCTCAGACACGGGGCATGTGGTGTCCTTGGGGCCAGGATGGTTGCTGGGAATTTGTTGTTAAATTGGATCATGCTCAAGATTTTTATTTTGCCAGTCCCAAAAAGCCAAGGCCTTGTTGTCTGAACACCAAACAACACCAAATGTCATTTCCAGATCAAATATTTGAGTGGATATAAAACTCAAAGCAGGTAAATATTCATTCATTTAACAACACTCTTGGTTGCCCCAATTAAAATTTTCTCCATAAAGCAATTCCACAATAAAACACTCCCTAGGATAAAAACCACTGAAAAACCACCTCTTTCCTTTTTCCCACTTGAATATTATATCTAAACCCAAGGTAAAAGCTGTTTAAAATCTCTGTTATCTGGAAAAAAATATGAAGGTGGTGATATTAATTTTAAAAACATTGTTAAATGTCCCAAAGATGCTTTGTACCATACTAAATGTTTAAGCAGGGCATGGCCTGGTAGATACAAGCTGAAAACCACTTAACAGCAGTGAAACTTATTTTTTCCCATCCTTAGAATGCAGCTGGAAAAACAACTTTAAAACCTTCTCCACCCTCGGAGGCCAACTGATCAATATGGAGATGTCAGTATTTGTGTACAGGTTTTATGGAGTTATAGAAAACAGATATTTCAGATGGATAAAATAGATATTTTAGGTGGATAGAGCAGATATTTTAGATGTAATTTTTGTATATTTATCTACGGATGGACAGACATTCATCACCCAGCAGAGACAGGAGGTAAAATGAGGACGACAAGGCCACTTGAACTTTCCTTGGGATGTGACGGACCCACAACGTTTTCACTCCCCACAAACCTCCCCACATTCCTACCTCCATGGATACCCCAAAAACCTCTGAACCACCAAACAACCTCCTTGGAAAACACCTCCACAGAGTCCCGGTGGGCACCCCAAGGGTCCAGATTTGGTATTTATGGATGGTTCCCAACGCTGGGTCCCAGCCCCGCGCTCACCCTCTCCTCCCGCGCCGGCGCCGCCCTCGCCGGCCCCTTGGATCTTCCTGGAGAGGGCTGGAAGCTCCTTAAGAGCATGAAGACATCTCAAGAGATTTTAACTGTTAATATCTGCAGACTGGCATCTGCTTCCTCGGCAGTTTAGCCCCAAATGTACGTCTGGGAAGAAGGAGAGCCCTAAAAGCAGGCGGGATTTCCATGAAATCCAGCCCTGCACTGGTTTGGCTTTAGAATCTTGTTATAGGAGCACAAGGATCCCAGGAAAACAAACTCCCTGTGGTGAAATATTGGAGGTAGGGAAAGGCTGGCTGTGCACAAAAAACAGAGAGCCTGGTAGGTGTAGAGAAAATAAAACATGCAAAAAGAAATTCAACCCCATTAAATATTTAAATATACTGAATTGGCCAAATTTGTATAAAAAACAGAGTAATACATTAAAAAAAAAATTAAAAATCTAGAAGTTAAAATGGTCTATTTTATTTAATATATTTAGATTTACCACAAGCCTTATGTGGGGACACCCAAACATTTCTACAAACACACAAATCAACTCTAAATAAACTGCACGTGCAGAGCCCCCATTAAATCAATATTTGGGCTGTGGAATCAAAGTGCAAAGCCCCCATTAAATCAATATTTGGGCTGTGGAATCCAAGTGCTGCCATTTGGGATTCTGGCCAGGAGAGCCCACGAGACCCCATGACTTGAGCAGCAGATGCACAGAGCGAGGCCTGGAGATGCTGACATTTCATCAAGGGCTCCCATTCTTCTGGGGACAAGAGCCATTGTTCCCTGTCCCACCAGGGCTCTTTGGGAACACTGCTGAAGCACATCTGCCCAATTTTATTTTATTAATAAATTTTAATAAGTGGTTTTTCAAGTTTTTCTTTTTAAGTTTTTTTTTTTAAGTGTTTTATTGAATTCCTCAAAAATAACGCCTGAAGAGTAACCTGACGGAATTTGCTTCATTTATTCAAAAATTGTGTTTGTCGATGTGTAACAGCAAATAAATTAAAACCTGCAGCGGCTGGCAAAGAGAAATCCAGGGGTTTAATGGAGAATATTTTAGTTTGTTTGTCTTTCTCCTTCCTACCAACCTCATTTTCAGGTGACTTTGTGGCATGCATTTATGGCATTACCCCACCTTCTCCTCCAGACACACAATATTTAGATTTAAAATCCATCCTACAGCTGATTAATCACCAAAAATGAGCTTGTCAAGCCCCTCCCTCCACCAGCCAGACCCAAAAATCCCTGATTTCTGTAACAGAAGAGTGAATTCTATGGCACAGAAGGACAGTGAGCTGCAATCGCCCCAGCTGCAGTCCAGGAGCAGAGCTGGCAAACACTGGACTCACCCTGTGAGGTGATTCCAGCTGGGAATCTCTGCCTGGACCAAGAAATGATAACAGTGAAAGGCAATGGGGGCTGAGTCAAAAATTTCCAATTATTTCAGAGGACAACATTATCAGTGAGTAAATAAATAAATTAATTAATAAATAAGGACTAACAGCAGCAGTTCACGAAATTTCCTGAGAAAATAAATTTTGAGGACTTTTTTAAAACTGCCCCAGGGCATTTAAAACCCACTTTTAATAAGCTCAAAATTAGGCAAGATTAGGAGTGTGCAGCCTTCAGCATTTCTGGATACAAAGCACCAGGAAAACACTCTCCCTTCCATGACTTCCCCTTTTCCAGAGTCCTTTTATTCCCTGCACTGCAAACCAATCCTGAATCCCAATAATTTCCTCTGTTAATCTTGTTTTATACTTTATTATTTTTTTTTCTTTTAGCTCTTAACTCCCTCCTTGGGAGGAACCCCAGGGATTCTGCAACCTGCCTGATGCTGAAATATTCCCATTTTTCCAGCCAAATCCCTGCAGTATCCACAGGGATCATCCCACAGCGAGCCAGGCACCTGCCTGAGAGTCGGAATTTGTCTGCACAGCAGCTCAGGAGATGAAAGCAGAGCCACACAAAAGCTCAGGGCTGACCGATAGGAAATAATTGCAGGCAGAATTCCATGAGAGGAATTTATGTTATTCTATTCAAGGCACTCGTAGAGGAAGAGAATGCAAAAAAAAAACCCACCCAGAATTTGATAAAATACAGGAATAATTGGCATTAAACCAATAAAAGACGTAAAAGGAAAACATGATAAAATTTTAATTATAATTGAGGTAATTCCTCTCATCTTTTCTTATCATATTTGGCAGTTCATGTAGAATATTTAGCAGTTTATAGAGAATACTTAGCATTTTATATAGAATATTTAGAAGCTTATATTGAGCATTTAGCTATTTCTATAGAGTATTTAGCTATTTATATGGCATATTTAGCTGTTTATATAGAATATCTAGCAACTTATATAGAATATGTAGCAATTTATACAGAATATTTAGCTATTTCTATAGCATATTTAGCAGATTATGTAGAATATTTAGCAAATTATAAAGAGTATTTGGCTATTTATATGGCATATTTGGCTGTTTATATAGAATATTTAGGAATTTATAAAGAGGATTTAGCTATTTCTATAGCATATTTAGCAGATTATATAGAATGTTTAGCAAATTATAAAGAGTATTTGGCTATTTATATGGCATATTTAGCAGACTATATAGAATATTTAGCAATTTACATAGAATATTTAGCAATTTATATAGAATATTTTAGCTATTTGTGTAGCATATTTAGCAGATTATGTAGAATAATTAGCAACTTAATAGAGAATATTTAACAATTTATATCAAATCAGGAAGCCCCTGGAAGAGCTTACTCAGGAATATTTGTATATGTTTAGCATTTTATATAGAATATTTAGCTATTTGTATAGCATATTTAGCTATTTGTATAGCATATTTAGCAGATTATGTAGAATAATTAGCAACTTAATAGAGAATATTTGACAATTTATATAAAATCAGGAAGCCCCTGGAAGAGCTTACTCAGGAATATTTGTATATTTTTAGCATTTTATATGGAATATTCAGCAATTTATATAGAATATTTTAGCTATTTGTATAGCATATTTAGCAGATTACATAGAATAATTAGCAACCTAATAGAGAATATTTAACAATTTATATAAAATCAGGAAACCCCTGGAAGAGCTTACTCAGGAATATTTGTATATTTTTAGCATTTTATATAGAATATTTAGCAATTTATATAGACTATTTTAGCTATTTGTATAGCATATTTAGCAGATTATATAGAATAATTAGCAACCTAATAGAGAATATTTAACAATTTATATAAAATCAGGAAGCCCCTGGAAGAGCTTACTCAGGAATATTTGTATATTTTTAGCATTTTATATAGAATATTTAGCAATTTATATAGAATATTTTAGCTATTTGTATAGCATATTTAGCAGATTACATAGAATAATTAGCAACCTAATAGAGAATATTTAACAATTTATATCAAATCAGGAAGCCCCTGGAAGAGCTTACTCAGGAATATTTGTATATTTTTAGCATTTTATATAGAATATTTAGCAATTTATATAGAATATTTTAGCTATTTGTATAGCATATTTAGCAGATTATATAGAATAATTAGCAACCTAATAGAGAATATTTAATAATTCATATCAAATCAGGAAGCCCCTGGAAGAGCTTACTCAGGAATATTTGTATATTTTTAGCATTTTATATAGAATATTTAGCAATTTATATAGACTATTTTAGCTATTTGTATAGCATATTTAGCAGATTATGTAGAATAATTAGCAACCTAATAGAGAATATTTAACAATTTATATAAAATCAGGAAGCCCCTGGAAGAGCTTGCCCAGGAATACCCACCGACGGAGCAGCAGGAGGGATATTTTATGTCATCATCCCAAATCCATGCCAGCTTTGAGGGTTTCCTGCGTTTTCCAGCGAAGCCAAGCCCGGGGAGGAGGCACAGCTCCTGCTGAGAGCATCTGCAGCATCCCCTGGGAGAGAGCCCCGCTCTTAACTCCCTGCCCTGGCACTGCTGGCAGCCCCGTAAATGGGAATATTGTGGATTCACAGGGAATCACTGGAGCAGGGGCTGAGCTGGGATCACGTAGGCACAACTGGGCAATGAACAAACGGCCGTTTATACTGGATTTTTCCCCCGTTTTAACACGTGCCAAGGGATAAACCGTGGGTTTATTGGGTGTACAGATGTCCAAAATAGATTTTTATTGGGGTTAACAATACTCAGTTGTTGGTGGGGAAGGAGTCCTGCCTCCAGACACACATTTCTGCTGTGAAGCCCGTAAAACTTCCACAGCAGATTTATAAAAACTCAACCAGGGACAACAAAGTGGGCAGGGAAGAGCCCAAACAGCAGCCCCGATGGAAAATGATGATGATTTGTAGGAACATATGGCCACAGAGGGATAAGAGCTCTGCTCCTCTCTGAGTAGGTCACACCACACCACAAAAAACACAGAAAACTCGCCAGGGGCAAAATGGGTCTAGGACAGGGGAAAAAAAAAAATAGGAGTTATTAACTTTGTAGGAAAAAAGATGGATTTCCAGCAAGTCTTGTCATTCAAACTACCAAAAAAAAAAAAATCATGGAACTCAAAATAGTCTTTAAAAAGTGGTGGCATAATCATATATATTTATTTGTGCTTTTGCTCTTGCTCTCCAATTTCACCACAAGGAGGGATTGTCAGAGGTAAAAATCTCTCCAGAGTGGCAAAGAGCCCCCAGAAATCCAACCTTGGCACCTGCTTTGGTGTTCCCAGAGAGCCAGGATCCCTTTCCAGAGGCAGATCCCAATCAGCAAAGCAGACACGGCACCTTTCACCCAGGGCTGAAATAACAGTTTGTTTTTGAGCTAAATGAGTCCATTTCCACTAAATAGGTCTCCCTGGGTGAGTTTTGTGGAGCCAAACCATCAGCAGCTCCAGCAGACGCTTCCAGCTCTCCCCAGAGCTCAGGTCAATTGACCCCAAGGACTCGCTCTGCCCATCCCATCCCATCAACCTGACAGACACGAGGAGCAAAACGGGGCAGGAAAAGGAGGGGGGTCAGAACTTCCTGCCCTCAGGTCCTAAAACTCATCTTGAGGGATGCCCAGCATTTATTGTTAGTGCTCCTTAAATCCCTTTTTTCATCCAGGCCGTGAGAAACTGGATTAATCGACAAATTGTGGGATGCAACTTGGGTTTCCATTGGAAAAGTCCAGCCCTGCCGACGAGCAGAGCTGAAAGCAAATAATTTATTCAGTTTCCAAGCCCTGTTGTAACTTATCCTCTACTTTTACACCAGAGAGTGGCAGGAAATCAGCCCTGGAGATCAGACACGCGAGCGCCCAATAATGGAACCGGCGGATCGCTGACGCATAAATAAAGTTTTAGATTTACAGGGAACAAGCCTCCCACTGTAATGCAGCCAGGAGGACTTTTCAGATGTTTTTATGTCAGCACTGGCCTAAAAAATAAATCCAGTGGGAATGGGAAGGGCTGGATTCCCTCCCTGCTGGCACCTCCTGGGGCTGTAGGGAGGCAGCGGGGTTAGACCCGAGGGCAAGCCTGGCTAAACCCCGTCCTTGGTGTTTGCATAACTAATGAGTGGATGTTGGGAATCATTTTGTCCCAGCGGTCCTAATGAGCTAAATCATTTTGGGATCGTTTGTCTCACCCAGGATTTGCTCCCAGCTCGTTCTGCCGCCGATCTGGTGGAGAAACCTCATCCCCAGCCCTGATCCCTCTCAGAGCTGAATCCTGCAAGCTCAGCGCTGACCACAGCCAGGCAAAACCATCAAAATGTGCATTTTCCTGTGCTGCTTCCAGCAGCGGTCGCAGAGGGAAGGGCACCACTGGGTTTCCACAGCAGGAAAATAACGCACGGCTCTGAGATCCGCGGGATTCCGTGAGCTTGGAGCCAGCCTGACCTCCTGACACCACCAGCGCCAGACCTGAGCCAGCCTGGTCCTCCCATCTCGCTGCAAAATGGCTTTTCCACAGCAACAAAAGCAGGGAAAAATCCAGCACAGGTTGTTCTGAAGGTGTGCTAATAGCCACACCGGGGGTTTCCACCCACTTCCCACTGGGATCGCTGTGGTTTACAACAATTCCCGCTGAACAAGCTGTCTCAAGCAACAGAATAATTATTTTTTATATAGAAAACGCATTTATTGTGCCAGTCCTGCCCACTGGAAGCTCCCAATCCATCAGCCCAGCAGCTGGTGTGGCCTGAAAATGAACCTTGAAGTGATTTTAAAAAATGAACTGCAGCCCGGGCTCCTGACACTGGAAAAAATCAGCCAAAGTGATGGATATTCCTGCAGGGACTCCCACAGTTTGGGCAGGTTTTCATACCTGCCCCTGTACATTGCCAAGTAAAAATTCCCAAAATATAGGAGAAATTATGTGGCTATAGAAAAGAATTATCCAGCTCATTGTATTGGCAAGTGATGTTTAGGAATAGAATGTAGTAATTATTAAGACATTGGTAATATTCCCTCCATTGAAGCAGGAAAGAGCACATACACTGGCTACAGCTGGAAGCACAGTTATCTATCTATGAAATTCATTTAATTTTTAATTTTTAATTTAATCCAAAACTAGGCTGGGTGGGGCTTGGAGCAACCACTGGAAGGCGTCCCTGCCCACAGCAGGGATTGGAATGGGATGAGCTTTAAGATCCCTTCCAACCTAAAATATTCCATTTTTTTTTTTTTTTGCGAGCAGCATTTTTAAATAGCAGAGAAGAAGATCAGGAAGCTCTTTAGCAGCAGCAGCAGCAGCAGCACCGTGACTCTCTTTTACTCCCAACAAACAGAATTATTCCCTTTGCTTTCATTCGGAAAACAACTTGTGAAGAGCCCCATTTCCATGGAGAGGCTCTCAGAATTAAAATGAAAAGTAGCGATAGCCACACCGGGGAGCGGGGCAGGACCAGCCCGCAGCGCCTCCATCCCCTCTCGGGAGCCAAAAACACCCGGGAACCCCCTCCTGTGGCTGGGACCCCCAAAAACCGGGAATCTGGGGGAGAAGGGGGGTTTGGCATGGAAGGGCGGGTTCCAAACACGGGGGGCTCCTGGAAAACCCCTCCGGCTCCCCCCGAGGCTCATCCCGGGATTCACCCCATGGGGAACCCGTTCTGCTCCGGTAGGGGAGCGAGGGGTCCCCAAATCCGGCTGGAATCGCCGAGCCGGGGCTGAGCGAGGGAAAAATGGACATTTTCCCCTGTAACCCCACACAGGCACGGGTTTGTTTTGCTAAGCACGTGTCAACCCGAGCGACTTCTCGACTAAAAAAAAAAAAAAATAATAATCTCTTTTTCCGCCGTAACAATGGAGAAAACAATAGAGAAAACAATAGGGAAAAGAATAGGGAAAACAAGACAGAAAAGAACAGGGAAAGGGGGTAGAAAGAAGCGGTTTGGGGGGGTTAAACAGAGACAGGGACGTACCTTTGCCGCACGGATTGTCCAGGCGCTGGCTCAGGGATTTTCCATCGCTCCCTCGGCGGCCGGGGCAGCCCGGGAGCCGGGAATGCGGGATCCGGGAATGTGGGATCAGGGAGTTCGGGAGCCGGGAGTGCGGGAGCCGGGAATGTGGGATCCGGGAATGTGGGAGCCAGGGAGTTCGGGATCCGGGAGTGCGGGATCCGGGAATGTGGGATTCGGGAATGCGGGATCCGGGAGTGCGGGATCCGGGAATGCGGGGTCCGGGAATGCGGGAGCCGGGAATGCGGGAGCCGGGAATGCTGGAACCGGGAGTGCGGGATCCAGGGACGCTGGAGCCGGGAATGCGGGATCCGGGAATGCAGGAGCCGGGAGTGCGGGATCCGGGAGTGTGGGATCCAGGGATGCGGGAGCAGGCTGGGCTCGCCTCCCTGCCGTGCCCGGCTCATGGAGCGGCAGTGCCCGCTCTGCTCCGCCGGCAAGGCGAGATTAGGATCTCCGGCGGGCAGGGAATTGTGCTGAGCTCCGGCTTTCCTTGGCGCTTCATTAAAAACGAGATTTTATTCCGGGCTGGTGTGGACAGATCAAACAATCAGCCGGTTATCCTGCTCGGCTGTGCTCCAGGAGGGAAGGAAAAAACCCTATGGATAGCAGCGGATGAGTTCAACAGCACGGGGAGTGAGCAGCCGGGAAGGAGAGGAATCCTGCGAGCCGGGAGCGAGCACCATCCCGGAGCGAAGCACAAACGTTCCAGCCTGGGGAATCACCTCATTCCCATTTCTTTTTTTATTTTTCCTTTTTCCCCGGTTCTGCTTTGCTGCTGCCGAGGGTGACGGGGAGCCCCGGCTCGCTGCTCCAGCCGGGAGCGTCTCCCTCGGGCTGAATCAGCGGCTGATCCCGGCTCAGCGCTCCCCAAAGCTTCGCCCGAGCCAAACTGCGGCCGCCAGCCCGCGGGGACTCATCCGCTGCCAGCTCCCAGCCAGGTTCGCTCTCTCTGCTGCTCGCAGCTCTCGAGGACGGTGATGAGGTTTATCGCAGCCAAGTCACGTCTGTGTCCCGGCAGGCTGAGCTCGAAAAACCCCCACGTATTTTCCAGAGCGTGACATCACATCTCAGCTCGGCTAAGTGGCTTTTAGATAACAGGCGATGCCCCCTCCCTGAGAATTCCGAGATAAAAACGTCGAAGAAGGGCAGTTTGCGCACACAGGGCGAGGTTTAACAGCGCAGCTTAATTCATTTCGGGACATTAATTAGTCATGCAGAAAGTATTCAAAACACCAAGTATTCAAAACACCAAGTATTCAAACCACCAAGTATTCAAACCAGAAAGTAAATATTCAAACCAGCCCAAGCACCGATTCATAAGAAAAGCATTACTATGAAATCAGCCCCGGCTGCCGAGCTGCTCAGAAAGGCAGGAATTGCTCTTGGGAGAAGCTGCAGCTCCTCTCTCTCACTCGCAGCACACAAATCAGGGGGCACCACCGGTCTTTCCTGCTCCC